GCGCCGCGGCAGTCCCCACCCTCCGGAGACGCGCGAAGGCTGCTGGGAGCTCCTGGGGAAAGGGCTCGGGGTCGTGAAAGGGTCCCGATGGAAATCTGATGGGGACCTTGAGACTGGAGCCCCGGGGGCAGCTTCTCCAGACGCATTCCTTCCTTCTGAGTCTAGACCTCTTCAGTCTCCACACCACCCCCCGCTGGGGACAATGGCGCCTTCAACCCCCGGAGATGAATGAGGCCTTTGAGAGCCGAAAGCCACGGGGTCAGCGGCGGCCACGGGGTCCCCGGGGGCTGCCCAGCCTCCCGATCAAGGAGACTCTGGCTGGGGAGAGTGGGGAGCTCTTGGGGGAGGAAAGGAATCCCATGGACCCTGTCTTAGAGACTAGTGGGCCTCTGAGAGAGATTTATCTGGATCAGGCAGTTCCCAGTAAATAAGGATTTTAAGTAGGTGGGGAGGGAAGAACCCCCACTACCTGTGGCAGGGAAGGGGAGATTCCTCAGAACCTACCAAGCTTTTGCTACCTCTTCCCCCCACCCCACCCTCCACCCCATCCAGCTCCCCAAATCAGGGTCCCACCCTCAGTTTGTATGAGACTGCTCCCCACTTCTCTCAGTGCTCTCATCCCTTCATCTGAGGCTGTCCCTAAGGCTTGGTCCCTCCTTCCTGCTCCTGTCTCCCCTCCCCTTCTTGCACTGCACAGCCTACCCGGTTTCTATGGAAACAAGCTGGGAAGGCTCTGCCAGGAGGCCAAGGCCACTACTGCTCTTGGGGGGAGGGGAAGATAGAAATGGAAAGAGAGACGCAGGAGGTGAGTTCTGGCAGTTCACGGAAGATGGAGATCTGTTGAGAGAGAGACTTCACTCCCAGAGGGGTGGGGCAGAAGGAGAGGTGTAACTGAATGATGTGACCGAGACAGAGTCAAGGAGTTCCTCCTCATCCCCCCAATTCCCAGTGCTTCAGACATCTAGACAGGGGAAAGTGGTGGATGAAGAAAGAAACCAAGAGCTCTGCCCATTCCCACCTTATGTGAGGCTCTATCCTTTTGCCCCTCCTGGGGACATGCCCACTTGACAGGAGGTCTCCAGGGAAATAGAAGGTTCCCAAGAAATGAGAGAGAAAATCAGAATGCAGTGTGAGTGGTCAGGGTTGTTCAGGAATCTCCCCTAGGAAGGTGAGATAGAAGTGGGCAGAGGTCTTGGAATGTCAGCTACTCTTATGGTACCCCTCTCCAGCACCTCCACTGAGGAGTTGGTGGAGAGCTGAAGACTGTCAGCTTCCTCCCCTCTGTCCATCCCATCAGGATGTTGGGCTATGAAAAAAGAAAAGTGGCCTAGTAGGGGTTGGGTGCAGAGAAGGGGAATAAGCCTAAGGCAGGAAGGGCCAGAAAACAGGTAGGAGAGTGAGTGAATGCAGATGTTTGTGGCTAGGGCAGGGAGGGAGCATCTTAGAAGCTTCAACTGTCAGCTCCCGGGAAGTGAGCCCCAGCCCTCACCCTTTCCTGATGCTCCCACCTTAGTCAAAACTGCTCCTCAGACAGGGACTATTGGAAATCTCAGAGTCCTGGGAGATTTTGCTGTGGGGGGTTCCTTGAAAAGGGGCCATCCAGGTTACCAGAAGTTTCAGCAAAGCTTCCCTGGGGAGAGGGGCATGAAACAGGTACCCTGGAGCCTAGGGTTTCCTGGATCTGAGCCATCGGCTCTCCCTCAACCATAGTCTCCAGCACAGTCATCTTGGTGTTTGCTTATTTTGGTTATTTTTTGATCAGATATTTTGGCACTGAGCACACTGCCTCCTGTTGCCATGGCAGCCGTGACAGGGGCTGAGGCACCGTGAGAAAAATACCAAAATTAATGAGTGAGTGAAAGTGCAGCCGAGAGAAAAACAAGGTTAAAAAAAGAGTTAAAACAGTAATGAAAACAGGCTTCTCAGCTCCACAGCAGAGCAGCTGCTGAGGCCTCCCCAGAGCAGCAGCCCCCCTCGCAGCCTAGAGCTCCTGGCATCTCCCAGACCTCAAGGCAGGACTTACTTGGCTTCCCCCACCCAGCTAGTCACTGACCCAGCAACAGCCACTTGGTGACCACCCTAGGCACAACCGTAGATCAGCTCCAACAGTACATCAGCTTCCATTTCAGGTAGTATCCTGCCTCGTAGAACAGCTTCTCATCTCCTAGACAATAGAGTCTCAGCCACAGCCCCCACACAACAATGGTGGAGCAAAATTACCAGGAAATGGCCTCCTAGCTATACCCAAGCTTTATAGTTATAGCTGGAGGCATCCCAGCTAGAGTCCTGCACACAGTAACAGCCCAGCCACAGTCCTGGGCAACAGCATCTTAGCTATAGCCAATCCCCAGTATGCTGTCATCACATCTACAGCTCCAGGACCAATAGCAGTTCAGCTACAGTCCTATACACAACAGTAGCTCTGCTCCTATCCCAGGTAACAGCCTGTCTCCCAGGTACAGGCTCCTAGCAACAGCCTCTCGTCTCCTAGGACCTAGGCAATGGATTCAGCTACAGTCCCATCTACATCATATTAACAGGGAACAGCTTCTCAGCTATAGCCAGTCTCAGTAATCCCAGCCTCACATCTATAGCTTCAGGCCCAACAGCATATCAGTTACAGCCCTCCCTCAACATGCACACACACGCCCATATACACACAGCGTGGCAATAGCTTCTCGGATAATCTTATTGGCACACCAGCATCAGAGCACTGCAATAGTGTCCTGACTACAATCAGAGGCAGTAGCCTTGGTGTCACAGTTCCAGGCCCTACGACATCCTAATTCACTTAGCCACACCCCATCCCAGGTACACCAATATCACAGCAAGCACCCCAACCATTCCCATAGCCAGCATTACCCTAGTTCCAATCGCTGGCCACAGTCTCAGCTGGAACTCAGGCACCACCAGTTTCAGAAGCCTCCCCCAGTCCTTCACTTGCCAAGCAGGTCCTCCTCCCAGTTTGGTACAGGGCCAAAAGTCCGACTTCTCTCTTATTCAGATGCCACCTCCCTTGCTCCCCAACAGTCCTCCCCCTAACCCTGCTCTCTCACCTGCCCTCCTTCCAGGGGAAACAAAGCCCCAATTCTCATATCTACATTACCCCTGCCTCAGGTCCCCACAGAGCCCAGCCTGGCAGCTGAGGTAGGAGGGGCTGGGGAGCAGGGAGATGGGTAGGCACACCCTGGTGCTGCTGCTCTGGCCCAGTTCTGCTCCTACCACTTGGTGCAGAATTTGAGTTTGATGGTGGTGGAGCAGGGAGGATGGAGGAGAACATCTGGGAGATTAGCATTTCCTGCCCAGCTCTGCGGCTGCTGATCCTGCTCAGCCCTGAGCAAGAGAGAACAGAGAAGCCTTTGAATGGCTCCCAGCAAGCAGACTGGGGAGGGGTTGCTGCATTGGGTGGCGGGCACATGCTGGGGGCAGGGAGACTGGGGCAGCTCCTCTGTGGAAGATTTCTCCTCTCTGGGCCACTGATTCCCTCCTCGGAGCTGTGCTCAATGATGTGGAGAGTATGAGTTTTCAGGAGACAGAAAGAAGCTACTTACAGGACAGACGCACCCCCCTCTTTCACTAGATTACCCCATCTCTCATCTAGAGTCCGTTGTTCCCCCTACCCGCTCCACCCACCTCCCCCCAGGCTTCTAGGGATGAGAGATAGAGCAAGGCCCAGGCCAGAAAAGGACTCCAATTTAGGGGGACAGCTCTGGGAGAGATTTTGGGCAGACTTTGCTTGCCCCCTTAGCTAGATTCAGAGCCAGAGATTCCACTCTTACACGGAAAAGCATCCTACAGAGAGAGTCCAGAGCTGAGAAGAGGAGGAAGTAGAAGAAAGAGGAAAGGCACAGAAGAGTAATAGGAACAGGGAAATGGGGAAGGACGGAGATGGGGAGTCAGACACTATGGCAAAAAGAGGCCCAGCGACTGGTCATCCCATAACAAGGGCCTTTCCTCACCCAACACGAGGCCTGGCTAGGGATAGCCTTCCTCATTTTTTTGACCTAGAACACTCTGACTGGGCCTGCAGTCGAAGAAGGCAGGAGGTCCTGTTGAACTGGGGCACTTGGTACCGTGGGTTACCAAACCGCGAGCGCAGGAGAGGGAGTTCCCAAGCTGCTCAGAGACCTCTAGATGGCGCCAGAGAGCCAGAGCTGAATGGGAGAAACCGAGTATTGGAGTGAAACACTGCGTGTGACACCGTGTGTGATTTGGTGAGTGTGAGTGTGATTGGGAGAGTGTGGCACTGCGAGGGCGTGTGACACAGGCCGTGACACTGTGCGGCCTCGCGGGGCAGGGACGCGGTGACTGTATAATGTGAGTCACTGGCAAATGCCTGTGGCCGCCGCACTACGCCTCCCAGAGGGCAGGTGATCAGGGGACCCTCGATCAGGCATATCACTTCATCTTCAGGCTTGTGTATCTTCCCCATCCTCACACTAGAACCCCCGTGTCCCTTAGCCTCCTCCTCCCACGGTCCCCTCCGTAGCCCCACCACCCCACCCCCCCCCCCCCGGCTTGCTACGGCCACCAAGGCTGACCGCTCTGCGTCTTCGGCCGGAGGGGGAGGGGTGGACATTCCCCGAGCTCAGCGGGAAAGGGAGGGCCACACAGGGTGATCGGGGGTCTGAGCGGGAAGAGGTTGGATATGGAGGAGCAGGTTCCCAGGGAAGAAGGCTCTGTGGGAGACACTTTCCCTGCTTCGACTTCCCAGGGGGCAGAGCCGGGGACAGGTGTTTGAGTAGGGTAAGGAGGGGAATCCAGGAGCGGTCCTAGATGGAGGCTTGGGTGGGATAAGCGTTAGGTGAAGCGCCGACGAGGGGACAGCGGGTGTACCGGGCCTTGGGCAATGAGGAGAAGGCAAAGGGAGGGGTCCAGGCTTTGGGGAGCGGTGCTAGGGGTCCCCTCCCAGCCGGACCGAAGCGGTCCCGAGCTCCACCTCCCGGCCGGAGGGGGGGGGCGGGGAGGCGGGCGGGCCGGGAGGGAGGGGGGAGGGAGGGGGCGGGCCGGGCTGTGCGCTCCGCTCTCTGCTGGCTCCGCCGCCGCTGCCGCCGCCGCCGCCGCCGCCACCACCGCCTCACACACTCGGGGAGCGGGAGCACGGCGCGGACGCAAAGCCGCGGGGCTGCTGCGCCCAGAGCCAGCCGGAGCCGGAGCCCGAACCGCAGCGCCAGCCCCAGCCGTGCGGATCGGCAGCCCCGGCAGGGGCCGGCGGTGGCTCATGGACAGCGGGGCGGGCGGCCGGCGCTGCCCAGAGGCGGGTAAGCATCGGGCGGCATAGGAGGCGGCAGCGGCTTGGGGCCCGAAGCGGCCATGGCCGGCGGGAGCTGAGGGAGGGGCGCTCCGCGGAGAGAGGCCGCGGGGGCCCAGCCGGTGCTCGGCGCGTGGGGGTTGAGGTGGGGGCGGCCGGGAGCCCGGAGTGGGGGCTGCGGCCGAGGCATTCCGGCTTCCCAGGTCCACGGCGAGACGCCAAGAGAGGGGAGGGGGGTGCTAAGCAGGACCCTAGTCCCCGCGTCCCGAACCTGGGCACGCTCGGAGAGACCGGGATAGGAGACGCCAGGAGCGCGCGGCGTGGAGGATGGGTTTCGGGAAGCGCGCGGCCCCCAGTTTGGTGGGGGGCTCCCGGAGGACGGAGCAAGCAAGGACTCTTGTCCATAACACATACATACACACTTGTTGGGCCACTAGCTCGGCTCACTCAGGCGCTTCCAGCTTCCCGCAGGCACCCAGAGGGCCAGACCGTGGACATATATACACACATACATACATACGTACATATGTGCACACAGACATACCTCCCGCACACCAGCGCCCACTGGGGCACCATCACCAACTCGAAATCCGCTTCTGTGTCTGCACGATCAGCAGCACGGACACACAACCCGTGGCTTTACAGAGCAACAGCACAACCGAGTGTGACACCCCACGACGTGGACACACAAACACAATCTCGTGCCCTTATGTACGAGTGTCACAGCCACGGTTCTCTACATGAACCCTCAAAACCAAGCCATCCCCTACATTTAAGGAACACACCCTACCATATATTGTCTTACCCACTTCTTGGCCAGAGCATATGTACACAGCGCAGGTCTCCTTGCAACCCTCGACTGCACCCACACACATAACCCAGTATCTCAGCACACGCTTGACGGCACACACCCTAACACAGTAAGTGGCACCTACAGCAGAGCCTCACCGTCACAAACACAGAACCCGCTGCTTCACTCATCTTAACGCTGGGTGTCACACACACCTTAAACCAACAGTGTCACATTACACCCTGCAGCACATACACACGCACAAACACACACACTCCGTTCCTCTCCCTCGGAGTCCAGATTCAGGCTGGAGAAGCCGCCGGGATCCCTCAGCGAGGCCCCGGCGCCCCGTCACCTTAATCGCGACATTGTTATTGTAAATACCGGCACAGCGGGAACCCTGGACCGGCCTACTGGCTTCCCAGCCGGCGCCTCCCCAACCCCCACTCCCGGGCCCAACTGGCCGGTGTTCCGGGAACTAGCTGGACCTGGCTGGCCGAGCCATCACGCTTCCCCGGGGCTCCGGGGTCCCAGGTTCCTTTGCAGAGGGTGCAAGGCGGGGACTGTGATTGCCACCCTCTTCTGAGTTTTCGGAGCCACCTGGGTCCCCAGCACACCTGGGTCCCGCAGGCCTGACCGTTTCACACCTGAGCGTCCCCTCCGCCTGGTCCCAGCTGTAGGCCAGTGTGTGCGCGGGCAGGCCCTGGAGGCAGAATGGAGATCGCGGCAGCCACAGGAGCAGAATTTGGAGGCGAGATGGTCTCACACCCCTTTCCCTCCTCCCAGCTACCCTCCGTAAGTCAGACTTCTGGCCTCAGTTTCCCCAACAGTGATCGGTTACTATTTCTTCTGTCAGGAAAGACTGGGGATGGCATTGAGGGCTTGGAGGATTGAGCGTAGGGCAAAGCTCCCCTCCGCCGGCTACAAGAGGGTCGGTTTTATGAGAATGTCCCCGCCTAGCCGGGTTCGCGGCTTTGTGATTCCGGCGCCAGCTCCCTCCCCGCCCCCTCGCGGCTCCCTCTCCGCTGCTCGCGCCGGCGCCGGTTGGCTGGAGACCCTAGGCCGAGGTCGGAGATGCCGGGGAGGAGGGATTCCCCGCGGCGGCCTGGGTGCCGGGGGCGCAAGTGGCCCGCTAGCAGAGGCGCGTTCTTACCACGCCTCACCCTCGCTTTGCCTTGGGCTCCTGGAGGCCTGGCGCTGCCGGGGTGGGGGTGGGGCGACCAGAGCCCAAGCGAGAAACTACCGCCACCCCCCAACCCCCGCAACACACACACACACACTCACTCTCGGCGTCCTCTGGGAGGAGTCGCTCCGCGCGCTGGGTGTGTGCTGGGAGCGCCCGCTGACCAAGGCGGTGCGTACAGGGGCTGCTCGGACCGGCAGAGTCCTGGACTTCGTGCCGGAAGACGCCGCGAGCCTTCTAGCACCTGCTCTGGGTTAACCTTCGGGAGCCGCCAGGAAAGGGGGCCGCCCAGAAAGTTTTTTATGACAACTCGTAGGGCTAGCTGTGTTGGGGGGTGAGGGAGTAGGTGGGTGTTACTTTATTGACGTGAGGGTCTGGTGGGGGGGATTGAAACCTGTAATAACAGCTAGACTAGGGTATAGGGTGGAATCGAGGGGAGAGGGTCCCCAGAGGTGGCTAGAGGCAGTGTGGTAGGGAAGCAAGTCTGGATTCAGTTCTGGCCGCATTTAGTTTTTCCCTTTCTCCTACCCACCTCCAATTCCCAATTCCAGAAGAGACTTCAACAGGAAGGGGTTGTCTTGCTGGTCTGGCATCTTCCTAGCAGAGGGCCTACTGCTGTGGCTACTTCGGCAGGGGAGCTGTGCTAGCGATAGTAAGCTAACTGCTGGGAAGAATGGGCTTGAAAGGCCAGGAGGGGGCCTGCGAAGGTAGGGGAGGAGCTAAGTGGGAATCAAGGTTGGGGGAGGGGCAGTGGGGAAGCAGGAGGTCCTTCTGATAGTGGGTGAGGGCTGCTACTGCCTCGAGCAAGGATAGTTGGTACAGAGATTCTGTTCAACAATGTATTGAGTACCTTTTATCTGCCCGGGCTCATGGTGGGTGCTGAGGATGCAGTAGTAAGATACCTATCATCATTGCCTTCATCAGACTTGCCACCAGCAAGGCTTGTTTATTCATTGAACCAAGGGGTACCTACTGTGTGCCTGATGCTGGGCACCAATGCGAGGAATCCGGTCTATTAAGCAATTGGAAGACTTAAAAAAAAATAATTTGTCCTTTACATGTAATGGAAGTAGATCTTAATGTAATAGACCTTATAGGCATGAGATCTCATTTAATTCTCCCAAATAATTTCAAGAGGCTGGATTCATTATTTCCATTTCACAGTATGGAAAACAGGTTCAGAAAAGTAAATTCACTTGGTTAATGTCACACAGCTAGGAAGTGGTGGAGCGAGGGTTCTAACCCCAACAATCTGACTCAAGCATGCCAGGTGCCTGGAAGCCCTGCAGAGGCTAATAGAGAGAGGGCTGTGGGAGAGAGGGGAGAGGAGCTGAGGTCTGCACACTTGCTCTCTGTGGGAGGCTTCTGTCCAGCTCCACCCCAGGCAACCCCACTTGCTTCCCCTCTCCTCCCAGACAGTCCCTTTGTCCCTTAGTGTTTTGTGCCCTCAGCAGTGACCATTGTGTAACAGTGCTGAGGTGAGGGGGGTGATTCAGAGCTGACCTAGCTACTAAAACAGTGGTGGCTGCCTCTGTTTTTTCTCTGGCCACAGCACTCAGCAAAATGGACCTTGGTCCCCGGGGTGGGCTGGAAATGAAGTTTCTGGGTGAACCCTCACCACCGTTCTCATCCCTTCCCAGATGTTGACACAGATGATATTTCCCTCAGCTTTTCTGGGATTCCGTCCCCTCCTTATCCCTTCCTCCTACACCCCTCACGGCTCTTCTGCTTCTCTATCTGAGGGACATGGGTTCCTGTGCCTGTTCCCCTTGAGGCTCTGGCTTCTCAGGGTCCTGAGTGCCCATGTCACTGGGGGGAGGTGGGGCACTGTTCCCCAGGAAGGCAGCCAGGGCCTGGGGAAGGGCAGATAAGGTGCTGAGTGTTTCAAAGGCCGCCGTGTGGGACTAATGACTCCCAGTGCCCAATTACTGAGGACAAAGTTCAGAGATGGTGGGGCAGGAGTGAGGAAAGGCCTTGTTATTGCTGCTCCTGCTCTTCCAGGTTCTCTCCCTGTATCCCTACGGGCCCCTGGGTGAAGAGCAGCAGCCTAAGAAGCCTGGGCTCATTCATCCTTGACCCTTAAGCCCACTCTTATTCCCTCCTTACTGGGCAGGATTGGCAGTCCAGAAATGGTGGGGAGGCCAGTGTGACATAACAAGCATCAGATTCTAGCCTCAGATATTTTTGTTCCTTTCCCCCAGACTCTGGGATGTGAAGAGGCATTCTTACTTCTCAAGTCCTGGCTCTTCCACATATTACTTCCGTGACTTAAGACAGTTTATTCTTTCTCAGCCCCCATTTGATCATCTGTGGTATGGGAAGGAGTGTGATAATAAATAGCACCCATTTCAGAGGGTTGGGAGGAAAGAGATCGTGTGTATAAAATGCTTAGTACTGAGTAAAATCTTAATGAGTGCGGAGATGATGATGATGATGAGTGATGATGATGGCAGAGGTGATTGTAAGAGTTTGTAGGACCTCAGGCTCTTTCTTAACTCCCGAATTATCTCAAAGTTGTACCCAGAGGGTCTGACCATTGCATCACAATTGCTTGGGGGTTTCTCTAGGTCCCACATCCTGAATAAAGATTCCTAAGGGTGGGGCCAGATAATCCTCATTTTGAAGGAACTCTCCAAAAGCTTGAAGGGCCTAAGCCCTCTTCAGCTCCTTTCCCCACTGAGCAGCTCCCTCTAACCCTGTTTTCCCCACTTAACCTCCTACTTTCTGGGGCCTTTCTCTGCCCCACCATCCCATAGCTTTCTTGAGTTGGACATTATCCTGTGGTTTTCCTTCTCTTTCCAATTCAGAGTTAGATACCACAGTTCTTAACAGGTTGTTTTGCTGGCTGAAGGCAAGGCATCTCCTAAGGGTGAGAGAGAAAGTATGTGTGGGGGGAGGGAGTAGTCTCATCAGCTTGTGTGCCTGTTCTGCCTACGAGGTTTGAAAGGTTATAGGGCCTCAGGTTGTGACTTTGAGATGGAGGAAGCCTGAGGTAGGGGCTTAATTTGTAGCTCTTGGAGTGGCCACACATTATTTTGCCCTGACTGCCAGATCATGGCCCCCTGAATTTGCAGCTAAAATTTGTGAACAGTCATTTTTCCTGGAAAAATCTGCACCATGGTTATAAAATTCTTAAAGGAGGATGTGACCACAAAGATTAAATATCTTAAATATCCTTGATCTGGAGAGAACAAAGGCAAACAGTGACTTCCTTATTTCTCCTCTTGGTCAGGTTTAGGGTAATTCCCTTGGGCTTCCCACATAACACCTGGCCTGCCAAGACTTAGGTGGAGAATTGGGGTGCACAATGATACCACCTTGTGTATGCACAGGAGGGTGGCAGTGAGATACAGGGCCCCTAAGAGAATGAGGTTCTCTAGAGACGGTCCTTTGGGGATGTGTTTGGGTTGGGGTCAAAGTGGTCAAATGAGCCTTGTGCCAGGTCCATGCAGGTGGAAGGGAGGTGGCCGGACGGTGGGTGGATCCAAATGGAGTATCAGATAAATTCCTGCTTCCTTTAAATAGATTAAGATTACAGCTGGCAGGCAGGGCAAGGTAGCTCATGTCTGTAATCCCAGCACTTTGGGAGGCTGAAGCTGGCAGATCACAAGGTCAGGAGTTCAAGACCAGCCTGGCCAAAATAGTGAACCCCTACTAAAAATACAAAAAATCAGCCGGGTGTGGTGGCAGGTGCCTGTGATCCCAGCCACTTGGGAAGCTGAGGCAGGAAAATTGCTTGAACCTGGGAGGCGGAGGTTACAGTGAGAGACCTCATTGCATTTAAGGCCAGGCAACAGTGTGAACTGCATCATCTCAAAAAATAAAAAAAGGTTGCAGCTGGGAACAAACATACACACTAATCTGATAATGGCAGCACAGACTTTAGGGAGGGGCCTGTGCTTGGAAGGCCACACAGAGGAGGGGAAGTGTTTGACTTATCTAAGGACTCTGTGCATTCAGTGAACGTTTTCTGAGAGTCTACCATGTGCCCCAAACACAGGACACTTAAATTTTACTCCAGGAAGTTCTTAGTGGAGTAGGGGAATAGGGTAAGTGAGCAAGTAAAACAACAATGATCACAGCAAGTATTGGGAAAGGCTAAGCCCAGAAAGCCAAGATAACAGTCATTCAAGAGCTGCTGAGTGCCCACTGTGTGCCAGGTCCAGGGCTAAGCTCCAAGGAGGTAGGAATAAACAAGGTAGAAACTGTCCTGCTCTCTGCTCACCATCTTGTAGCAAAGACAACTAACATGTTTTCCAAACAGGTACATAACTACGATTGTGCTAAATGCTTTGAAGGAGTCCTTTGTTGAATACCCACATTCAGCCCACAGCATCTCAAACACCCTAGGAAATACATAGTATTATCCCCATTTTACAGATAAGGAAACTGTAGCACTAACCCTTTGCTTCAGGAAGTGAGGAGATGGGTTTGCCTCAGACTGCTGATGCCATAGCCCTCTATCTTCTCCACCCTCCTGCCTCACATTCACCAAATGGTATACGGAAGCAACCGAACAAAATGGACAAATAGTCACTGAGTCAGAAACATTGTCATGGCAGATTGGGCCAGTCTTTTTTACTTCTGCATCCCAGTGCCCAGGACAGAGCCTAGCACATTGTAAATGCCCAGTAAACGTGTTAAATGCATGAGTGAGTCCCTACAGTGTATCCAGATGTGCAAAGGTGCATTGTTGGGGACAGAGGATGAGTAAATGTACAGAGTACTGTCCCTTCCTTCAGGGTGCTTGGCGTCTACCTGGAGAGGCAGAGAACTCAGGAATAGGTGCACAATACTGAAGCTGAACAACAACACAGGTGGGCGGTGTCCCAGTCAACCCAGTGAGTCATTGCCTTGGGATTGGAGCAGACAATAAGCGGCTGTGAGTTGGAGGAAGGAGAGGTCACCATGGACAGGAGAGGGCTGTGGTTTCCTGGAGGGCCAGAGCCTGCCTTCAGTGGGATTGATGTGGGGTGGGTGTTCCAGGTAAAAGTGGGGAAGTGGGGAAAGGAGACTGAACCAGAAGCCTCTAAAGAAACTGCTGATCCAAAGATTTTGGATTTGAATAGAGGAGAGAGTGGCCATGATTTTGTTGGAGAGGAGGGGGCATTCAAGACAGACAGTAGCTGAGTCTGGCTGGGATCTGCCAATGCACGACCTCAAAGCCAGAGGAGATGGGCAAAAGAAGAGGGTTACTGTGGTGGTTGGGGTGCAGCTTGTGGTTGGCTAGGGCATGCAGAGCTCTCACTAGAAGGATTTGGGGGTGGGCAGGGAGAAGTAGTTGTGAAGTGGGGGCTGGATATACAAGGATAGAGGTCAAATAGGAGCCAGATGTTCATCCAGAGACCAGAGGGTGTGGGATGGGGGAGTAGTCAGGGAAAGGCTGGTGGTGTCATCAGCAGCAGCAGCTCTGTCCCAGTTAGACCTGCTGGGCTCCCAGTTGCTAAGGACAGGCCAGGGCAGCTCCCAATGACAATTCCAGGGCTAGTCAGCCCTGACCACAGTTCTGACCTCAATCTTGACCTGTGTTCCCTTCTACACACCTGCCCATGGCAGCAGGAGGGAGAGGAGATGAGCCCTAGCAACTGTTCATGTGCCTGTGTGCGTGCTCTGCGGCCTGTGTGTGTGCTCTGCGGCCTGTGTGCATGCTCTGCGGCATGTGTGTTGGGGGGAAGTCGGGGAGGGCTAACACCTACTCCTCAACCCTAACCATTTTCAAAAGCCTTGCCCAATTCAAGCTGGCCTTTTATGGGGGTGGAGAACACTGGGCACCGTGGGTGATTGTCAGAAAAAGAGAATTTGAGTTGTCATACCTCATGCATATGCACTGACTTGGCATCTCAGAATAAAGAGAAATGAGACATCACCCTCTCTCCCTCCAGTCAATCTTAATGGGGCCCAGTGTGAGAAGCCATGGTCCCAGGGTCTGGGGTGTGTAAGAAGGTACTTGTGTCTCTTTTCTATCATGCATGTGGGGAGGGTGCTCCAATTGGGGGTACTTGAGGCCTCACCCTTCCACTGGCTCTCTCTCCCTATCTCAGTATCAGGGTAATTACCCTGGGTGACTAAGGCAGGATGCTGGTGAGAAGGAGGTATTGGGTGAAGCAGAGAGCAGGGAGGGAGAGAAGGAAGGAGGGCGGGCAGCCGGGCTTGGGCCCAGGGAATGTCAGGTGGGTGAGGGCGTTCCATGGGCGGGAGCTGCTGTAGACCTGCCAGGCCTCTTACTGGCTCCTCCAGCTGGAGCAGTCACTGCTGCTACACCCAGCTGTGGATGAGATTCAGGGATCTGAGTCTCTGGAATCGGGGTCCTATGCTGGGACTGACTGCCCTTGTAGAGAATCGTGTATCAATGGGAGAGGGTGAGTATGGAGCCAGCTCTGGGCAGCTCACGGCCAGCCTCCTCTTCCCAGCTCATGGCCTCTGTTTTGCCTCTTCCCCTTGCAGCCCTCCTGATTCTGGCACCTGCCAGGATGGGGCCCCTGAGGTGCAGCCCGGGCCCCCGGGGGCAACGGCTACTGCTGTCTTCCATGCTGCTAGCTGTGCTGCTCCTGCTGGCTCCATCCCCAGGCCACGCCACTCGGGTAGTATACAAGGTGCTGGAGGAACAGCCGCCCAACACCCTCATCGGGAGCCTCGCAGCCGACTATGGTTTTCCAGATGTGGGGCACCTGTACAAGCTAGAGGTGGGTGCCCCATACCTTCGCGTGGATGGCAAGACAGGTGACATTTTCACCACCGAGACCTCCATCGACCGTGAGGGGCTCCGTGAATGCCAGAACCAGCTCCCTGGTGAGCCCTGCATCCTGGAGTTTGAGGTGTCTATCACAGACCTTGTGCAGAATGGCAGCCCCCGGCTGCTGGAGGGCCAGATAGAAGTACAAGACATTAATGACAATACACCTAACTTTGCCTCACCAGTCATCACTCTGGCCATCCCCGAGAACACCAACATCGGCTCACTCTTCCCCATCCCGCTGGCTTCAGACCGTGATGCTGGTCCCAACGGCGTGGCATCCTATGAGCTGCAGGCCGGACCTGAGGCCCAGGAGCTATTTGGGCTGCAGGTGGCAGAGGACCAGGAGGAGAAGCAACCACAGCTCATTGTGATGGGCAACCTGGACCGTGAGCGCTGGGACTCCTATGACCTCACCATCAAGGTGCAGGATGGCGGCAGCCCCCCACGTGCCAGCAGTGCCCTGCTGCGTGTCACCGTGCTGGATACCAATGACAATGCCCCCAAATTTGAGCGGCCCTCCTATGAGGCTGAACTATCTGAGAATAGCCCCATAGGCCACTCGGTCATCCAGGTGAGAGGCCCCTTCCATATAACTGTCAGGGTGACCCACCATTAGAAATGGGAGCCCACCCAACCACGTGAGAGTTTCCTTCACTTAGGGGGAAAACTGCCAGGCTGTAGTGAGACCCCTTCTCCCCAGCCTCAGCCAGGGGAGTCCTTCCCATCCCACCCCAGCAAGGTGATACTACTTTTCTCTATCAGGCTACTTAGGTGACAGTGACATAGCATATGAACAGTAAGCTTCCCATCCCTAAGCCAGACTCAAGCTGAGGAAACTTCTGAGAAGTGAAACTCCCTCCCTAGTCAAGTAGATCCTTCTCTGCCAGCCAGGTGAGCTGAGTTGGAACAAAGGAATCACCTTTTATCCGGGTAGAATCTCTCCTGAGATGAGAGTATCTTCCTGACCAGGGACAGTTTCCCTTTAGCCAAATGAGGTTTCCTGAAGCTGGAGAATATAGCCTCACTTTGCCTCTTCCTGACAAAGTCAAATGAGATCATTTTAGCCAGGTGGGTCCCTCAGAGTCCTGAAAAGACATAATGGGGTGTCTGTATATCTGCCTCCTCTCCTAGGCATGGGGTGCCCATAGGTGTAGGGTGCTTGGCACAGTGAGCTCAGTGGGGGGTCAATTTCCTCTGTTGAAGTTCTCAGCACCCCTCTCCATGGGAACTGCCCCAGGCGCTGGGCAGCTTGGTGGGGCTGGGGCCTGGGAGGGAGCAAAGACCGCGTCCCTGCCGACAGGTGGGTGTATCTCCCGCTGCCATCTCAGTTCTGGCCTCCTGCCAGCCCAGCTCCTTTCTCCTTCCCCATGGGCTGAAGATGCCTCTCTCTTTGTTGTGAGGGAGCTACGGAGGCTCGGCCTGCCCTGGACACCGTTACCTATCCTGGAAAACCCTCAGTCCTAGGTCCTCAAGCTGAAGCGGGAGATGGGTGGGAGTTGCAGTCTATTTTTTTTAGAGGCTGGTGGACTGAGACCTGGAAAAGAAACCGAGAAAGAAAAGGGAGACAGACAGTCGGGGATGGCAAATAATAATAGCCTAGGTGCCAGGCACTGTTCTAAACACATGATATGTATTATATCATTTAATCCTTACAGTACAAGGTAAGCATTATCCCCATTTTGCAGATGGGAAATGGAGCCCATAGAAATGAGAAAACTTGCCTGATATCCTACAGCTGTTGAGTTCAGGGTCCACCTTTGCCACATCCAAGAGTCTGACTTGAGACTAAAGCTGTTAGGTGTGTAACAGCTTTACCACCTCCCAGTGAAGCAGAAGAGTACAGCAGAGAGTAAACCAAGAGGTCAGCTAGGCTGGAAGAAAACAGGCCATGGGAAAGGAGCAGAATCAGAACTGAGCAAGGATGGGAAGGAGACTGAAGCCAAGAATCATAGAGACAAAGGGAGGTAAGACAAGAGGCAGTTAAGAAGCTGGATGACCAATCTAGAGGCAAGGGAGACAGTGGGGATCCTCATGATAAAGTTTGTGACAGGTAGACTGGGGTGAGGGGAGAAGAAACTGTTAGGGTTTGGCACCCAGAGATGTGAGCAGCGACCAGAGTAGCTGGGGAACCGTGGCATCCTATGAGCTGCAGGCCGGGCCTGAGGCCCAGGAGCTATTTGGGCTACAGGTCTGGAGTCTTCATTGTAGAAAAAGCCCAAACAGGGATAGCTAGAGTTCCCATTGCCAAGGAGGAGAGGACTGACAGTGGCTTGAGGGCTCACTAGGTGCATTGCACAGCACTGCGTTAGCACTGATTTTTCAGAGGCAGGCAGGTAGGAGGGTAGACAGTTAGACAGACAAAAAGAGAAATAAATGCTATTTAGGGAGCACTTCCCCTGTGTCAGGCAGTATCAGTCATTTTTACTGTGTTATCCCATCTGATCCTCACCACAATTCTGTGAAATAGGTTACATTATTATCCCCATTTCACATATTCATGAGGCTTAGGGAGGTTAAATAATTGGCCCAAGGTCACATAGTTACTGGGGAAGTGGTATAAGTGAGACTTGAACCCAGGACTCTTCTATTCTGTTATCCCAGAGACTCTGCCAAGTTATGGTTTTTCTCCCCTCACTCCCCATAGCTGTCACATTCTGTCTGGCTGTGACCTAACTCCAGTCCCTGTCTAGTGGTACCCTGTGGCTGTTCCCACCTGGGTTCTGTTGCCCCATTACCAACCATGTTTGTATAGAGTTGGGCCGAGTGCGCGTCAGAGTTGGCGTGGGAGGGCGTGCCCGCTGACTGCGAAGGGACAGACAGTTCATTGTTTGATGCTGGGAGCCCAGCCTACTGCCAGCAGGCTCTGTGGCCTGCATCAACCCCTCCCTCCTGGCTGCAGGCTCAGGCCGGATTCCTCACATTGGTGCCTTGCCAGCCAGTGCCAGCCGGGAGGAGAAGGAGCTGCTGAAACAGGTTTCCCCGGTTTGACAGAGCGGTGGCTGGGGCCCGGCCTGAAGGGCTCCTCTGACCCACAACCCTACCTGACTTCTTTCAAAAGAAATCCCCCCATACCTGGGGCCTTCAGGTAGGCATGTGAGTCTTTACTAATGTGTGCAAACACACATACACAAACACATATACCTTCTCACACAAAAAAACACATAATCATGCATTCTGACACAATTGTACACACAACGTATGTACACGCGTGCATATTGTGCATATTCATACGGGCATGTACACCATCTCAACTAGCCACACCTCTCCGTCTCTGCAGGAGGGTTCAGGCAAGGTTCATTGGTGAAACGGCTTCCCTAGTTCTATTGGATCCTCATCCTCTCCTGGTATTTGTGTAGGCCCATAGAGCAATGACAAGTGAAGTTTAATTCTGCCCTGTCCCATCTCCAGTAGTTGCCAATAGCACTGTTTAGGATTTGCAGGCTGCATCTGGGCTCTTCAGGAAAATAGGTTAGTAATGCCTGCCAGAGTGTCCGAATTGGGAAAAGGCAGTACACACATGGCTTCTGGAAAGGGAGCGATGTTGGATTGGTTGTGTCTGCCATGCTTGTTGGAAAGGACATTGGCAGCACACATGCCCCTTTATTTGCTATCCCTGATCTAAACCATCTCTGTTCTTGTTTTTCCCTCCTGCCTCATAGGTGAAGGCCAATGACTCAGACCAAGGTGCCAATGCAGAGATTGAATACACGTTCCACCAGGCACCCGAAGTTGTGAGGCGTCTTCTTCGACTGGACAGGAACACCGGACTTATCACTGTTCAGGGCCCCGTGGACCGTGAGGACTTAAGCACCCTGCGCTTCTCAGTGCTTGCTAAGGACCGAGGCACCAACCCCAAGAGTGCCCGTGCCCAGGTGGTGGTGACCGTGAAGGACATGAATGACAATGCCCCCACTATTGAGATCCGGGGCATAGGACTGGTGACCCATCAAGATGGGATGGCTAACATCTCAGAGGATGTGGCAGAGGAGACAGCTGTGGCCCTGGTGCAGGTATCTGACCGAGATGAGGGAGAGAATGCAGCTGTCACCTGTGTGGTGGCAGGTGATGTACCCTTCCAGCTGCGCCAGGCCAGTGAGACAGGCAGTGACAGCAAGAAGAAGTATTTCCTGCAGACCACCACCCCACTGGACTATGAGAAGGTCAAAGACTACACCATTGAAATTGTGGCTGTGGACTCTGGCAACCCCCCACTCTCCAGCACCAACTCCCTCAAGGTGCAGGTGGTGGATGTCAATGACAACGCACCTGTCTTCACTCAGAGTGTCACTGAGGTCGCCTTCCCGGAAAACAACAAACCTGGTGAAGTGATTGCTGAGGTCACTGCCAGTGATGCTGACTCTGGCTCTAATGCTGAGCTGGTTTACTCTCTGGAGCCTGAGCCGGCTGCGAAGGGCCTCTTCACCATTTCACCTGAGACTGGAGAGATCCAGGTGAAGACATCCCTGGATCGGGAACAGCGGGACAGCTATGAGTTGAAGGTGGTGGCAGCTGACCGGGGCAGCCCCAGCCTCCAAGGCACAGCCACTGTCCTTGTCAATGTGCTTGACTGCAATGACAATGACCCCAAATTTATGCTGAGTGGCTACAACTTCTCAGTGATGGAGAACATGCCAGCACTGAGTCCAGTGGGCATGGTGACTGTCATTGATGGAGACAAGGGGGAGAATGCCCGGGTGCAGCTCTCAGTGGAGCAGGACAATGGTGACTTTGTTATCCAGAATGGCACAGGCACCATCCTCTCCAGCCTGAGCTTCGATCGAGAGCAACAAAGCACCTACACCTTCCAGCTGAAGGCAGTGGATGGTGGCGTCCCACCTCGCTCAGCTTATGTTGGTGTCACCATCAATGTGCTAGACGAGAATGACAATGCACCCTATATCACTGCTCCTTCTAATGCCTCTCACCGGCTGCTGACCCCCCAGACACGTCTTGGTGAGACGGTCAGCCAAGTGGCAGCCGAGGACTTTGACTCTGGTGTCAACGCTGAGCTGATCTACAGTATCGCAGGTGGCAACCCTTACGGACTCTTCCAGATTGGATCACATTCAGGTGCCATCACCCTGGAGAAGGAGATTGAGCGGCGCCACCATGGGCTACACCGCCTGGTGGTTAAGGTCAGTGACCGCGGCAAGCCCCCACGCTATGGCACAGCCTTGGTCCACCTTTATGTCAATGAGACTCTGGCCAACCGCACGCTGCTGGACACCCTCCTGGGCCACAGCCTGGACACGCCACTGGATATTGACATCGCTGGGGATCCAGAATACGAGCGCTCCAAGCAGCGTGGCAACATTCTCTTTGGTGTGGTGGCTGGTGTGGTGGCCGTGGCCTTGCTCATTGCCCTGGCGGTTCTTGTGCGCTACTGCCGGCAGCGGGAGGCCAAGAGTGGTTACCAGGCTGGTAAAAAGGAGACCAAGGACCTGTACGCCCCCAAGCCCAGTGGCAAGGCCTCCAAGGGAAACAAAAGCAAAGGCAAGAAGAGCAAGTCCCCGAAGCCTGTGAAGCCAGTGGAGGACGAGGATGAGGCTGGGCTACAGAAGTCCCTCAAGTTCAACCTGATGAGTGACGCCCCTGGGGACAGTCCCCGAATCCACCTGCCCCTCAACTACCCACCAGGCAGCCCTGACCTAGGTCGCCACTACCGCTCTAACTCCCCACTGCCTTCCATCCAGCTGCAGCCCCAGTCACCCTCGGCCTCCAAGAAGCACCAGGTGGTACAGGACCTGCCACCTGCAAACACATTCGTGGGCACCGGGGACACCACGTCCACGGGCTCTGAGCAGTACTCCGACTACAGCTACCGAACCAACCCCCCCAAATACCCCAGCAAGCAGGTAGGCCAGCCCTTTCGGCTCAGCACACCCCGGCCCCCACCCCACCCCTACCACGGAGCCATCTGGACCGAGGTGTGGGAGTGATGGAGCAGGTGTACTGTGCCTGCCTGTGTGAGGGCCTGCCTGAGCCAGCAGTGGGAGGTGGGGCCTTGGTGAGAACACTGCTGCCTCACCCAGGCACAGGGATTAGGCTGAGTGAAGATTAAGGGAAGGTGGGCTCTATCTCTGCCCTCTCCCAACTGGGAAGTGACTTGCCAAGTCCCCAGACCCTGGACCAGCTGCTGGGGATTGTGGGTGGGGACTGGGGGCCAAGTGAGCAGAAGTGGGGAGGGAAATGGGGAAGAAGTCTACTCCATTTCCTAGGTCTCTATCAGACCAGCCCTAGGTGCTTCTCTAGGAGGGAACAGGGAGAACTGCGGTCCCGTGGATAACTGAGTGGGGAGTGTGCCAGGGAGGAGGAGTTCCCCATTGTGCCTCCTGTGTGTCCTGTGCATCAGCCTCTTCCTCACCACTAGGCTCCTGGGGTGGGGTTCCACATGCCCTTGGCCCTGACAATAAAGTTCTCTATTTTTGGAGTTTTGGTTTCTTATTTTCTGGAACTGAGAGAAGAAGCGAGAGAGACTGGAAGCAGCCCTTTGTCCTCAGTCCTACTTCAGTTTCCCCTTCCCTTCTCTTTGCCCCTTCCACATCCTAGACCTGCCCACTGCACCCCACACTATCTTAGTTTACCATCTTACCATCCACCCCCATGTCTCTATCCACATCTGGGAAAGTGCCCTTCTGACCAGCCTTCAAATGGAGATGTCTGGCAGTGTGTCCCCTTGCCCCATGTCTGTAGGGCTTTCTTCCTAAGAATGTTCCAGAAAGGGGAGGTGGAGCTGTACCCAAGTCCTGCCCTATCTGAGACTGGATTTTTCTAATCTGCTCAAACTGAGTTGCCTCTGACAGACCTCAGACTGGAGCACCTGGTAGGGGGTGGCATTCAGCCTTCCTGCCTTGGGTGAAGGCAAAGAACCTCTCAGTTACACCAGCCACCTTCCCCCAGGGCAAGCCCTTCCCTTAAGTCCCTTCCCCAGCCTCTTCATCACCACCGCACTCAACACCAGCAATTAGCTGGCCCTGCCTTCTGTCTCCCTACCATGATCACCAGCCCAAGCTAAAGGGAGGGGCCGAGGGGGAGAAGAGGGAATTCCGAAGTTCTCTGCATTTACCTGCCCTGCACCCCCACTCTTAGGGGGTCCCCTGCTCATGAGCAGAGGCTTCCTAGTTCTGCCTTCTGCCTGTGATGCTACCACCCTCCCCTCTTTCCGTTCCTTGCTCTGGCCACTCTGGGTTGCTGGTTCTCTCTCTCTCTCCGTCTCTCACTTCTTGCTCTCCGGGGTCTACCCCGTCTCTGGTTGTGCCTGAGTGGGAGGAAGGCTAAAGCGTGGCTAAGGGGCCTCAGGTCCTGGGGGAGTCTCTGAAGCCAGAGGCAACCTATCTCCATGGTGACTAAAGAGGCTTGAGACACTCCCAGGAGGAATAAGGTGCCAGCTCTCTCCTCTGATTCCATCCACTCCCCCAATGCCTTGGGTGTGGGGGAGAGGGCAAAGTAAAAACTCCCGGGGTCTTGGAGGAGTGGGGCCTGGAAAAGTGAGACCTAACCACATCATGACCTCCAGCAACTCCTGACCTCCCATTCTTTCTCTTCCTTTTCTGTCCTTACTGGCACTGCTTCTATCTTTCTCCTATTCCTTTAGTGTCTTCTTTTTCTTTCCCAGGGTCTGAAGAATTGTCTTTTACTCAGCTCTAATCCATCCTAACCCATCCATCGAGCCACATTGAATGTGTTCTCTCAATATTCAGATACAACCAAATCACACCACCTGTTGTCATCATCAACACACATAGGCCAAGTTTCCACTGAGTGCTCAGCATGGTACTAGACCCTGAGGAAAAATGGCTATACTTGTACAAGACAGATAAGTGAGTGATGAGGCAATTGAGAGTCTTAAGAGTTGAATGAGAAGTACCCTACTAAAGCTTTTCCCAACTTACTTCATGAAACTACGTCTACTGCTACCACTCACTTCCATTTTTTGAATCCTTACGAGGTGGGAGGTACCATGCTAAGCACTTTGTGTGAATTAGTTCATTCAGTGCTCATAATTCTTTATATATGGGTCATTTTAATGTTCAATTTGCAGAAGTGAAAACTAGTGATGCAGCCAGATTCAAACACAAAGCAGGCAGTTCTATTATCTATTCTGCTATAAAAAAGGGGTTCTGTGATGAAGTTAGTTTTGGTAGTAAGAGATTCATGATTACTATTAAATTCAACTATTTAATTATTATCATGATTACTATTTAATTCAACTATTAAAGGCTCTGTAGAGTCCTCCAAAAAAGGGGGGAACCTGTTAGACGTTGTTTTAATTTTAATTTAATTTTTTTTTTTTTTTTTTTGAGACGGAGGTTCGTTCTTGTTACCCAGGCTGGAGTGCAATGGTGCGATCTCAGCTCACTGCAACCTCCGCCTCCTGGGTTCAGGCAATTCTCCTGCCTCAGCCTCCTGAGTAGCTGGGATTACAGGCACGCGCCACTGTGCCCAGCTAATTTTTGTATTTTTAGTAGAGACGGGGTTTCACCATGTTGACCAGGATGGTCTCGATCTCTTGACCTCGTGATCCACCCGCCTCGGCCTCCCAAAGTGCTGGGATTACAGGCTTGAGCCACCATGCCCGGCCTTTTAATTTTTATTTTTTTGAGACAGGGTCTTGCTCTATCGCCCAGTCTGGAGTGCACTGGCACAATCTTGGCTCACTGCAACCTCTGCCTCCTGGGCTCAAACAATCCTCCTGTGTAGCTGCGACTACAGGTGTGCACCACCACACCTGGATAATTTTGTATTTTTTGTAGAGACAGGGTTTTTCCATGTTGCCCAGGTTGGTCTCAACTCCTGAGCTCAAGCGATCTGCCCACCTCAGACTACCAAAGTACTGGGATGACAGGTGTGAGCCACCATGCCCAGTCTCAATTTTGTTCACCTCTTGAGTTTTCTGAATTTATTTCACCATATTGCCCCTCCCTTCCTTTGACAAGCACAGTATGTGAAAACTACACAGGACATGGAAATGGGCTTCTGGAAGGAGAAAGTACAACTCGAGCCAACTTGTCAATGAGGAGCAGGATTAGGGCAGGAGGGTCCCCTGCCTCCTTGCAGGGTCACTGTGTGAGCAAACTCCTGCGGCAGGAGTGAACCAAGTTGGAGGCAGGGAAAGGGCAGAAAAAGTAATATTCTGGCAAGAATGGAGGGCATAAGAGAAAGCTGAAAGACGAGACTGGAAGAACTGTAGGTTGTAGAGGACATAGGAGCCAAAAGTACTTCAGAAAGAAATAATCCCTGAAAGCTCATGAGTGTTTTAGATGAACTGAGTGTTAGAAAGTTCACTGGAATATATGGTGGGCTTAAAAGGGCATAGAGATGAAGGTACAGGACTGAACCTCTAAGGTTTGGACTGATGGTGGCAATGGGGGTGATGGATGGATAAATTTGGCCAAGGTTAGGGTGAAAGAACCCACAGGATTCAAGAGATAAATGGATATGGGATAGGGATGGGGAATGAGGGGAGAGCTCCCAGGACTTCCAGGTAGGCATCAGCCTTCTGAGTCTGAGTAATGGGACAGTGATGAGATGACTGCCCATATAGAAGCTAAGTGAAGAAGAATTTTGTCTCAGACATGTTGAATCTTAACGGCCAGTAGGCAGAGCCGATTGGAAATAATCAGCAAGTGTCTAGAGCTTCAGGACTCAAAGAGTTTGAGAGAGATTTTTGATCTGGGCTTTTATAATTTGATAGTCATAAAATTAGAGGGAACATTAAGTGTTGGGTGTAACCCAACCCTCCATTTTACAGAAAAGAATCATGGGAAAAGAGACGAAGCGACTAGCTTAGTAGGCAGGACCGAAGCCCTCAATGACCAGGTGTGGGTTCTGCAGGACGGTGGGGCTGCTGGCCAGTATCCTGAAAGAAAACTGGAAAGAGAAGCACCAACAACCGTGCTACCCGTGCCCCCCAGACCCTGTGGGCCCTGTTCACCCCTCCACCAGGTGGGCAACATTCCTTTGTAGCCTCCCAGATCCAAAAGTCCATGTCAGGTTTGGAGACCTTATCAGTCATCACCCAGACCCTTTAGTGTTTTAGATCAATACAAGGATCCCAAGAACGATCGCTTATTCCTGAAGATGAGGGGAGCCATCTTCAGGAATGGGGATAGTGGGGAGGCAGTTCTGGACTACCTTCCTGGCAGCTCCAAAAATCCTGTCCTGATAGCCTCTCCCACCCTAGCTGCCTTGAATGGGGCTTTAGGAGGGTAAGTCTACAAAGCCAGGGCCACCTCCCCTGGCCATCTTCATAACCTATCCAGAGTTACAGAGTAAGACAAAGCACTGCCAAAGTCTTGAAGGATTGGAAGGAGCTTGGAGACTCATCAGCAGGGCCCTGGGCTTGGCTGTTTTCACCCCTGGCCTCCAGGGGCCCTGGGTCTGCGCCCTCCACAACTCCTAATTTCTGGTTGGCAGAAAAATCTGTGGCAGTCCCAAGTGGGTATTTGGGCAGCTGGCTGATTGTGCCAAGTGCCAAGTTAAGGTTGCCAGGTTCCAGGGCTGATCATTAACCTGTGGCAGGCCTACAGGCCTGCTGGCTGGGAGCAGCCTGTCACCATTCCACTCCCCCGACCCCCAGTCCCCAGTCCCCAGTCCCCAGTCCCCAGTCCCTGGTCCCCAGTCCCCAGTCCAAGCCTCCAAGTCTGGCTCCTCATCCAGCTCCTCATAACCGGCAGCCCTCCCAGAAACTCCTTCCTATTTCCTGGAAGGAGTCTCCTTTTGAGACCAGCTTTCCTAATCCCTAATGGGTGCCATGCCCTCCCCACCCCCAACCCATATCCAGGCTCCTGGCAGGGCCCTACCCTCTCCAGTGAATATTCTATTTCCTGATCAGGAAGACTGGGGAGTTTCCATTGTTCTGCTTTGCCCCCTTCCCCCAGGTGCCCTGGTTTGTTATCAGGCTCCTCCCTCTGTTTTTCACTCCCAGATCTCTCTGGAGAGGAGTGAAATGGGGATGGGGGGCTGAATGGGAGAGGCCTCAGCTGGGAGTCCTGAGGCTGCTGCAACATCACAAACCAGGGATGAGGAACAGAGGATAAGAAAGGTTGGCCCTCATTTGGAAGGAGACAGTGGCAAGAGCAGTGAGACAGGTGAGGAGCTGGAGTTTGGAGGGTGCTGTTTGAAAATGAGGGAACTGTTCTGGTATTGGTGAGCTGTTTGGGAGTTAGGAATCTGCTGCTTTTAGGAAGCTATTCTAGAGATTGCAAGCTATGCTGGTGTTTAGAGGCTGTGCTGCAATTAGGGGAGTAGGGTGGTATCATGCTACTCTGGTATTGGGCTCTACACTGTATTACAGGCCATTTTGGGATTAAAGGGAGGCTGTGCCAATATTGGGAAGCTGGGTTAGAGCTAAAAGGGTTGTGCTATAACAAATGGTTGCACTGGATGAGGGTTATTGGGGTGGTGCAGGGGCTATAATAACACTGGGGCCTGCGCTGTATTGGGACTTCCACTATGTGGACTTGGCTGTACAAGGAGCTGTCCTAGAACTTAGGAGCAGTCTTCTACTGGGGCCTGTGCTTTTGGGAGGAGTGTGCTGTGCTGGACCTGGGTCCCTTCTTGGTTGCTGTTGAGGCCTAGGGAGGGTGGTGCTTGGCTTGTACTAGGGCTTGGTATGGCGGTGGGCCCTGTGGGCAAGCTGGGTGGTCAGTAGTGACAATCTCTCTCCCTGCAGTTACCTCACCGCCGCGTCACCTTCTCGGCCACCAGCCAGGCCCAGGAGCTGCAGGACCCATCCCAGCACAGTTACTATGATAGTGGCCTGGAGGAGTCTGAGACACCATCCAGCAAGTCATCCTCGGGGCCTCGACTCGGTCCCCTGGCCCTGCCTGAGGATCACTATGAGCGCACCACCCCTGACGGCAGCATAGGAGAGATGGAGCACCCCGAGAATGGTGAGGCACAGCACCATGTTCAGGGCACCCCAGGAATAAGTGGAAGCCTGGGAATGGTGACGAGGCCCTAAACAAATCCTCCTCTTTTTCTTTTTTTTTTTTTTTGAGATGGAGTTTTGCTCTTGTTGCCCAGGCTGGAGTGCTGTGGCACAATCTTGGCTCACTACAACCTCCACCTCCCAGGTTCAAGCGATTCTCCTGCCTCAGCCTCCCAAGTAGCTGGGATTATAGGCATGTACCACCATGCCCAGCTAATTTTGTATTTTGAGTAGAAATGGGGTTTTGCCATGTTGGACAGGTTGGTTTCGAACTCCTGACCTTAAGTGATCCACCTCCCTCGGCCTCCCAAAGTGCTGGGATTATAGGCATGAGCCACCGCGCCCAGCCGTATTGAGTTCTTATGTGTTCAGTCATCATCGCCATGAGGAGGGCTTTCGGGTATACACACATTTGATCCCCAGAACCACTCTGTGATCTGAGTGGGTTTATGGCACCCACTTTATGATGGAGGAAACCGAGGCTTAGAGAGGCTAAGTCACTTGCCCAAAGTCATACATCTAGAAAGTGACAGACCTGGGAGGGATACAAACCCAGGTTTCTCTGACTCCAAAGCTATTGTATCCAGCCATGTTTACACTGCCACCTGGGAACAGGGACTTGAGCGTGGTGGCCAGAAGGCTCATATAATGGTGAGGAAGCATTGAGGAGGTGGGTGGTGGTCCTCTAATGGATAGGAGGGCCTTGAGAATAGAAAATGGGCCCTGGATGCTACAGGGGTCTCAGAGAACGCTGTGACAATCCACTGGGGAGAGGAGTGGGAGAAGGTTTGGCACCTCTTTGAGGAAGAGAGGCAGGAGGTCTGGTGAGGAGAAAGACCTGACTGGGAGGGATTTGGAGGATGATGGCAAAAGGGAGGTGTGAGCTGGAGCAGAGATCAGCATGGGAATGGATGCTGAGGTATGCTGTCAGAAAGTGTGTGTGCAGTGTGGGTGCTGTGCACATGCGTGTGTATGTGTGAAGGCGTCCATAGCAGCCTGTGGAGGAGGAGAGTGAACGAGCTAGCCCCTGAGATGGAAAGACTCTAACTTGGAGCTGTCCTCGGGTTTCATCCACTCCCTTAATTTAAAACCTCCCTTCCCCACAAAAGATGGAAGGTTTCATTCCCCTGCCTCAGGCACAGGGCCCTTGTCTAACCTCCCAGGCACTAGATCTCAGAGTGTCCTCCACCCCACCCCACCCCTCCATACGTGATCTCATGCCCGTCTCGTCCTTTTTGTGCCCGCGCAGAGCCGGCTGGCCGGAGCAGGCCCTGAGGCAGAGTGCCAGGTATGTGGGAGCTGCTCTGGGGTCTGGGGTCTGTGGGACTCTGCCCAGCACCCAGCCTTGACCACCCAGTGCCCATGTTCTGCTCTGAGCTATGTTGGGACCCCCAACTCTGCTCTGAGCTGTAGAGCCTTGGCACTTTGAGGGTTAACAACAGAGCTGTCCCCTCCTCACCTGGCACTGGCAGGAGGCCAAGCCAGGGTGGGTGGTGCCAGGGGAGCCCCTGTCCCAGGCAGTGTTGCTCAGCCATGTCCCTGGGGGGGGTCACTGCCTGGTGCTGTCCCTGAGCAAGGGCAGGACAGGGACAGCTGTGACAGGAAGTGCTCGTGGCCCAGCCGTTCCCATGGAGACCCCCGCTGCCCAGCAACTACACCGGCTACTGCTGATGTCAGGCAGCCAACTCCTGTTCCCGTGGGTGTTCTGGGCAGGGAGCCGGGGCAAGGCCAGGGGTGGTGGATGGTTTAGGGGCCAGAGTGAGGTGGGGAGGGGCTGCATGAGCGTGCTTGTGGATGTGAGTATGTGCCTCTATGTGAATACCCCACATAGAAGCTCTCCCTTCCCCCTGGCTTTAAAGCAAGGCCTCGCTGTGCTGGGGGAGGGTGGGGGTTCCAGGACCACTGGGAGCATGTGAGGCTTGAGGGGGTTCTGAAGGAAGCCATGTGCCCAATTTTATCTGACAATAGAGGTGCTCACTATAGTAGATTTGTGCATCCATGACTATCTATGTGTGTGTAAGAGAGGGAGGGAGAGAGAGAGATTGATTGTTTCCTTCAATGAGGATGGGGGTTTCCTCAACCCTGCCTGAGGATAGATTTGGATGTTGAAGCCAGTCTGAAGATAGAGGAGGCAGTACTTAGATAAGAGTGTGTTTGTACACCTGAGGCCAAAATTGGTGGGTGTGTGAGAAGAGCACTGTAGGGTAGGTGAGTCTGGAAGAAATGTGTCTATTTAGGGTTCAGTGGCTCACGCCTGTAATTCCATCACTCTGGGAGGCTGAGGCAGGAGGATTGCCTGAGCTCAGGAGTTCAAGACCAACCTGGGCAACATGGCTAAACCCCATATCTACAAAAAAAAATACAAAAATTTAGCCAGGTGTAGTAGTGCATGCCTATAGTCGTAGCTGCTCAGGAGTCTGAGGTGGGAGGATCACCTCAGTCTGGGAAATTGAAGCTGCATTGAGCCAAGATCACACCACTGCACTCCAGCCTGGGTGACAAGAGTGAGAAAAAGAGTCTTGAAGAAAAAAAAAAGGATAAGGCTGGGCCCAATGGCTCATGCCTGTAATCCCAACACTTGGGAGGTCGAGGAGGGTGGATCACCTGAGGTCAGGAGTTCAAGACCAGCCTGGCCAACATGGTGAAACCTCATCTCTACTAAAAATCCAAAAAATAACCAGGCATGGTGACGGGCACCTGTAATCCCAGCTACTCGGGAGGCTAAGGCAGGAGAATTGCTTGAACTGGGAAGGTGGAGGTTGCAGTGAGCTGAGATGGTGCCATTGCACTCCAGCCTGGGTGACTCCACTCTGTCTCAAAAAGAAAGAAAAAGAAAGGATAGATACTGTGTGTGTGTGTGTGTGTGTGTGTGTGTGTACAGTAGGTGGATGGTGGGTGTATATGTGTCTATTCGAGGGTGTGTATGCCTGTGAGTTGAGTGGTCAGGAGGAAGGGGCGTGTACCCCTGTCATGAGGCAGATTTTAGGTGCCAGTGGGAGGCCATGACGCAAAGCTTCGCAGACGCTGTATGTCTGATGACTGTCCTTCCCCGCTCATTCCTACAGACCTTCGCCCTTTGCCTGATGTCGCCATGACAGGCACATGTACCCGGGAGTGCAGTGAGTTTGGCCACTCTGACACATGCTGGATGCCTGGCCAGTCATCTCCCAGCCGCCGGACCAAGAGCAGCGCCCTCAAACTCTCCACCTTCGTGCCTTACCAGGACCGAGGAGGGCAGGAGCCTGCGGGCGCCGGCAGCCCCAGTCCCCCGGAAGACCGGAACACCAAAACGGCCCCCGTGCGCCTCCTGCCCTCCTACAGTGCCTTCTCCCACAGTAGCCATGATTCCTGCAAGGACTCGGCCACCTTGGAGGAAATCCCCCTGACCCAGACCTCGGACTTCCCACCCGCAGCCACACCGGCATCTGCCCAGACGGCCAAGCGCGAGATCTACCTGTGAGCCCCCTTCTGGCCGGCCGGCCCCCCTCCCCCAGCCGCCGGCCAGTTCCCAAATGAGCCCATTCCAGGGCCTCACTCTAGACCCTTTCAGCGTGGACTTCCTGGCCAGGGCCCCAAGTTGGGGGTAACACTGGCCTCATGACCACGCTGGCCCTTCTCCCATGCAGGGTCCAGGTCCTCTCCCCTCATTTCCATCTCCCAGCCCCTAGAGGCCCCTTCCCCTTTATGGGGCTTCCCCCAGCTAATGCCCAAGAGGGCTCCTCTGCAATGACTGGGCTCCTTTCCTTGACTTCCAGGGAGCACCCCCTCAATTTGGGCAGATAGTGGAGTCAAGGGTGGGCAGCACACTCCTAACTCATTGTTTCCCTCATGGCCGACCAGGGCGGGGATAGCACGCCCAATTTTAGCCCTGAAGCAGGGCTGAACTGGGGAGCCCCTTTCCCTGGGAGCTCCCAGAGGAAACTCTTGACCGCTAGGGGCTCCCTGAAGGGCTTTCGTTACCAAAGGTGGGGTAGGGACGGGTGGGTGGGAGTGGAGTGGAGGCCTCGTCTTCCCTTGCTGCCCCTGGGCTGGCCCACCTGCCTGCCACATGCCCACGTCTAGTCCCATCTGGGCCCCCCTTCCCTGCTGGTCATGCAGTGTCTGTATATAAGGACCTTGGAATGACGTTCCCATTTCTGCCTGATTTGCAACTTTTATTGTTGATGTTGTGTTGTCTTGGGGGACCCCTCTGGCGGGGAACCTGCCCTGTGCCCCCTCCTCCCTGCCGCAGTGCCCCCCCAACCCAGGCCTCTATTGTTCCATGTTGTAAATACCCCTGGGGCCATGGTGGGATGGGGGTGCAGGCCAGGAAAACAATGGGTGGGTGGGGGTGGGGACGGGGGTAACATTTGCCTATCAGCAGAGCTGGGCTTTTATTTAATTTTTTTTAAAAAATACAAATCTCTATTTTTTTGGAACTGTTGCGCTGTGCCCTGGGGGGGATCCCCGCTCAGGCTGGCCTCCCACATCCAGATGAGCATCACAGAGGGGCCCTGAGGCTGTGGGGGGCAGCTGGACAGGGGTGGGATGACTGTGCCTCTGGCCTGGTTGGGTGAGTTGGGAGCAGGAAGGTTTGCTCAGCGGGTGGCTGGGTGCTGCTCCTGATACAGGGGGCCTGCATCCTGCCCCCTCCCTGCCTCCCCAACCCCCAGCCCCTGCCATGACTGACCCGTCAGCCTGTAAAACCACCATTGCCTTGATCTCAGGGGGTGGGAGGGCTGCCTCAGGGCACCCTGGGCTCCAGGCCCCCTTCTTCCAGTTGGGCTTCCCTTTGCCAGGGTCAGGGGTCCCATGGGGGAGGAGGTAGGGAGGTTGGGGGGCAGAGAAGCCCAGTCAGCCATGATGAGGTGGAGTTCTTTTCTTCACCTCAGGGGGCCAGGGTGTAAGGGGTGTCCTGCAGAGCCCCCATCTCCCACTGTGGCCATCTCAAAGCCTCAGCCCCTCTTCCTTCCAGAAACCCCCACTGCCTTGGCCCATACCTCTCCAGCTCCCTAGGGGCCCAGGCTGGGAGGCTGGAGACTCAGGGTATGGCCCTTGCTTGACTTAGTCTAAGCTTGGGGAGGTGGCCCAAGTGTGGGAGGGGTGGGTACAGGCTGCTGGGTCGTCTGGTGCCTTTGGGAGCTGTGCTGCTGGGGTCTTGACTCCTGTACCCCAAAGACCCCACCCCCACCCAGGAAAAGCCAGGGGGCTGAAGAATCACCCTATTCTCTGCCCCTTACCCCTAACTTGGCTTGGGGTGACAGTGCTAGGAAAGAGAGCATTGTTAGGCTGGTAGCCCCAGCATACATAGCCCTTCTATGGAGGGGAAGGGGTAGAGTGGGCTGGGGTGGCAGCAGCCAGGTCTAGGGGTTGGCCAAAGGCTCCTTTCCCTGGGGGAGGCCCAGGAAATGGGCAGGGGGCTTGTTAATGAGACAGCCCTTTTCCCCTGCACAAACGGGGCAGGTGCAATAGTCTCAGAGTTGGTAGTATTGGGTGCCCAGCTGGTGGGGCAGTGGCCTCAAGGATTGTCCTGGGTCCTGGAGATCAGGATTCTGGCAAGAAGATTGTATGAGGCCCATCTGCTTGGTGGAGAAGGTGGTCCAGACAGGCGGCATTCCTGGGGTCAGTGGACTCCCATTGGAAGCCCCTGGTGGCCTGGGTACCCTGCCCTGGTCTTAGAGACCCCTGAGCACTGAGTGGAAGGGCAGAGGAGCATTTTGCACAATGGAGAAGCCAGAAGAAAGAGGTGGCCCAGATGGCTGGGAGGGCTGAGAAGCACAGAGCAGAAGCCCTTCCTACAGGCAAACACAGAGCCCCTATCCCCCTGGTTGGGGCCAGGGCACTGCATCTGTTACCAACTGGGCACTGGAGAGATGAAACCAAAGGTGGGCAGGGGATGGTGACAGCACTGGGGACTACACCTGTGGGTCCTAGGTCTGTGAAGCCCCTCCCCAATGCCTGTGTCGTGTACAGTTTTATGTACCAATAGGCGACATTTGGCCAGAGGAGAGCCCCCCTCAAACCCAGCCTGACCCAGTCTGTGTCTTCCTAGAGGGGACCTAGTCGGTCCCCATCCCCCTACTTCAGGGCATGTCTCTCAGTAGGGGAAGGGTATATGGGGACATATTTCTCTCCTAGGGTCCCTGAAGCATGTCTCACATCACAGGGTGGGGGGAAGTTCTCTGGGCATCTCTCATCTCTGGGGGCTCTCTAGGCCCTATCTCTCCCCTTGGGAGTCTCTGGGGGACATGTGTTCCCACTGAGGACCACGGGAGCATGTCTCGCCCGCTTATCCAGGCTCTCTGGGGAGCCTGTTTTCCTCCCAGAGTTCCTGGGAGTACTTAAGGCAAGTCAGTCTGGGGCCATCTCTCTTCCCAGGGAAGGGGGCTATCTCTGAAGCATGTCTGGGAAGGGATGTTTCTGGCCCTGCCCCCATCTCTCCTACGGGGTTTCTCTGCCCTGCAGCACTTTGGGATGAGGCTGGGCATCTCTGAGTTGTCTTTTCTCCTAGGGGCCCTGAGATACCTCTCTCTCCTGAGGGTGGGGCCTCTGGAGCCATTTCTTCCCTGGGTTGGGGCTGTCTCCGGGTGTTGGGAGGGCTTGTGTTGGCCATGAGAAAGTCTCTTAAGGGGCCTCTCCACTGGGGACTTCTCCGGGAGGGGGGACTGTGTCTCGCCCACCGGGTTTCGGGCGGGTGTGTCTGCCCATGGGGAGGGGAGACTGGGTCTCCTCGGGTTACCTGATTGGGGAGGGGGGCCGTGTCTCTCTCGTGTGTAGGGGGGTGGGGGTCGGGGTGGGGGGTTTTGGGCGCGTCGGGTGCCCACATTGGGGTCGTGTTTCTCTTGGTTCGTGCCACTTCCCACCGCCTCGCTCCTCCCGGGAAGGGCCCCCTCCCCCACCCCATCCCTGGCGCTGCGAGCACAATCCCGTTGATTTGTAATGATTTCTGTCTCTTTCCGTCTTTCTCTTTCTGACCCCCCCCAACCCCCGCCGCGAGCATGCGCAGGCACCGCCCCTACCCCCTCCGGTTCGGTTCGTTTCCGGTTTGTTTGCTGAGCTGTCAATGAAAGACCCGTGTAATTATTCCCGAGCTTTACAATAAAAGTGTGAAAACCGGACCCCACTCCGCTTCTTCCGGGTCCTCGGGCCTGCGTCCCGTGGATAGTAGGAGCTAAATCTGGACCTTAGAAAGGGCTGGGGGACGCGAAGGACGAGACTGAGACTTGCACTGGTGTTAATCGGGGATGGGGTCGAGCTGACGCGGACTGAGGACAGACCCCGAGTCCATACACCTCAAAGTGACCCCTGCTAGCTCCGCTGGGTCCGACCTGCTGTGAGCACCCCTTTCCCCCAGAACTCAGGTGCAGGACGGTGTGAGGGTGGCTGCCGAGGAAGGTTGTGCTGCGCTGCCTTCTTCCCCCGGCGCCTCCAAGACGTGCAATCGTTCCCGGGTGTATCCATTCCCACTCCCCACTCTTTGGCAACGAGTGTGAATTGCGGAACTGGATGGGATAAGGGGCGGGAGACAACTGTCTGTCGGGTTCTCCCACGCTCAGGAACCAAAATTGGAAGTCGATTTAGGGGACGGCAACCGAAAAGGTCTCAGCCTCGGTCTCCAACTGCGCTCCCCTCCCCCTTTCCGGGCTTGATCGGCCTCGGCCTCCTCCGTCCGGCTCCCGGGTAAACACCGGCTCCGGAGAAGTCGGAAAACAGAGACCGGATCAGCAGGTTCCCGGCCCCGCCTCCCGGGGCGCTGCTCCCTCCTCCGACCCCCACCGCGTCGCGCGCTGTTGCTGGGCCCGCGTCCTCGCTCCCCGGCCCGGTGCTGTGTGGGCCTCGCTCCGGACCCCGAGGTCGGTCCAGCAGCTGAGGGATTAGCCGAGCGCAGGGACTAATCCCGGATGAGCCTCGTGTAAACCCGGATCGACCGCGGGGAAGGCGGGGGTTGCTGGCACCCCTTCATCCGTTCCCCAGATGTGGAGCATCGCGGGGCCTAGAGCCCACCCCGAGGCTCCTTGCTGCTTTCGGAGAGACCCAAGTTGGAGCTGCCGTTGGGGGCGGAGCGGGGCAGGGAATGAAGAAGGGAAGGCCGGATCAGACGCGCCGAGAGCCTGGCGGCGGGGTGACGGGGGTGTGGGGAGGAAAGGCACAGGTTTCTTGGGCAGGCTTTGACTCAACAGGGTTAGGTCAGCTCCCTACCTCAATCTGCAACCCCAATCCCCCCACCTATCTCCAGTTACAGAATCACAGATCCTCCCCGCTTCCGGTGGCTGTGGCAACCCTTCCCTAAACCTGAGGCCTCACCTCTTTAGGAGAGGCGCTGAAACAGCGGGGGAGGGCCCCACATTGTCTCCACCCCGACTGGACCCGGCAGTGGAGGCTGAGGAGCTCCTTCTGTCAAGGCCTAGCCCAGGAAAAGATGTCAGGAGTTAAGGAAGTTGGGGGAGATGAGGTGGCCGACTGGGTACCAGAATCCTGTCACTGCTTGATTTACTCATTCTAAAAACATTTCCTGAGCCCCTCCCATGTGCCAGACCGGCACTGGACCCCAAGAATGACATACAGTCTCTGTGGGAAAGGCAGACAGGTAAACAACGACCATATCTTTTATTCGGCCCTGTCTTGAGCCGGAAATTCTGGCAGGAGACCCAAAGGCACAGTCTCCTCCAAAGTCTAGAGGCTTCCTGGAAGGAGTGGTGCCAGAGCTGAGTTTCAAAGGGCAGATAAGGGATAGGCTACTCAGGAAGGAGTCGGCCTTGCAGTCTGAGAAGAAGTGTGTGCCAGGGTCTGGAGGTGGAGGAGAAGGTGAGGTGGCTCAGGAGGGCAGGAGAAGTTGGAGAAGAAGGCAGGGGCCAGAACTAACGACCTGCTGGTCAACTTAAAGTGCTTGGATTGAAGGGTTGGGGAGGAACCATTTACAGATTTTAAGTCTATGAAAGAAAAGGTCAGATTTACATTATTCTGGATTCTGTGTTCCTTCCTTCCCTGCCCCAGGTTTCTCTGGTGATGCCTGGGTTGGGAGTGGAGACACACAGGCAGACAGACAGGAAGATGAACCAGGTGCAGTTCAGACTAGTTAAGAATGGTTTCTGGCCAGGCGTGGTGGCTTACGCCTGTAATCCCAGAATTTTGGGAAGCCGAGGCGGGCAGATCATGAGGTCAGGAGTTTGAAACCAGCCTGGCCAACATGGCGAAACTCTGTCTCTACTAAAAATGTCAAAATTAGATGGTCGTGGGGGTGCACACCTGTAATCTCAGCTACTTGGGAGGCTGAGGCAGGAGAATCTCTTGAACCCGGGAGGCAGAGGTTGCAGTGAGCCGAGATTGCGCCACTCAACTCCAGCCTGGGCAACAGAGCAAGACCTGTTCTGGAAAAAAAAAAAAGAATGGTCCCCACCTTCTATCACACTTGGAATCAGAGACCTATGTTAGAAATCTGGCTGTACCTCCTTCTAGTGGCATGACCTTGGGCAGGTGACTGAGCCTCAGTTTCTTCCTCTGTATGGTGGGGAGAATAGCGCTTACCATTACTGAAGGTTATCGTGGGGCTTCAATGAGAACATTTGTCCACTCTTTTATTTAGCACACATCTAACACCTACTAAGTGGCAGGCACTGTGTCAGGTGCTGAATAAGACAGGCATGATGCCTACTCTCTCTCCGGGAACTTACATTCTAGAGGAAAGACAGACAATAAACAAATAAATGAGATAATTATAGATTGTGTTAAAGTGCTGTGAAGGAAACAAACAGTGGGACATGAGGGAGGGTAACTGGAGGTGGGGAGGGAGGGGCTGCTTTACCCTGCCTAGCTGGGGAAGCCTCTGCAAGGAAACTGAAGGCTGGCCAGTGCACTCCAGCCTGGGTGACAAAGTGAGACCCTGTCTCAAAAAAGAAAAGAAAGAAAGAAAAGTAAAAGAAACCCTGAAGGTTTATAGCTTAGTAAAGAACATTCCAGATATAAGGAAATTGCAGATTCAAAGGCCCTGAGGTGGGAGAAAAAAGCATAGTCTGAGTACTTACTCTAAGATGCTAAGCTTCCTGAGGGCAGTTACCTGGATCTCTCTTTTCTTCTAACCTGGGCAAAGTGAGGATGATGGAGGGGAGTTTCCATCCTGCTGAGGCAACCCCTTTCCCTCCACCTCCATCCTCTGGAGCAGTATTGGGGAGATGTGGGCCTCATCAGTCAGCCCATCTGTCCAGCTTAATCTTTCAGCTGTTCTATAGCTGCCCCCAACCCCCCTCCCAGTGTCAGGACAGGTCTCAGCCTACTATTTTCCCAGTGGGTTCTGGGGCTCCTAGTTCTCTTGGGCAGGAGGAGCAGAATAGGCCCCTCCAGAATCTGCCAGTCCAGAGCCTAGATGAAACAGAATTTAGGATCTGACCTGCAGGGGCTGAGGGGAGGGTGCTTCCCAGAGGAAGATGGCCAAGGGGTTTATGGGGTTTAGGCCTTTTGGAATCTCCCCCTTGGCCTGGGTCTCACTTGAGGGAGGCAGCCTGGATCCCTGTCTGATTCCCCCTCAAGGAATGTTTCTTGGAACATGGATACATTTCACACAGCCGCCCGCCCCTGCTACAGAGCGCACACGGCTCCTCTCACACACACTCACACACCATCCAGCTGCACCGTGCGTCTCCATGGCAACCAGTAGGCCTGGTCCACGGATGTTAGAAATAAGTGCCAGAGGAAGAGGAGAGAGAGAGGGAGAGGGAGAAGAGAAGAGAGAGAAGTACAGAGACTTAGAAAGATAGCCTTCCAAGGAGACCCCTACCCTTTTCTTATACCCCCTGCCAGGAAGAAGTGAGTGGATTTGGGCCCTGAGGATGGAGGAGCTCAGGGTGGGAGCTAAGCAGTAGATTAGGGGCTGTCTGGACACAGGTAATGGGCACAGTGGGCAGTGAGGAGTGGGCAAGATCAAGGGAACTTCTCTTGACAGTCTGGTGTCTTGGGATAAGAATTCTTGGTCTAGCCAGGCGCGGTGACTCAGGCCTGTAATCCCAGCACTTTGGGAGGCCGAGGCGGGTGGATCACAAGGTCAAGAGATCGAGATCATCCTGGTCAACATGGTGAAACCCCGTCTCTACTAAAAATACAAAAAAGTAGCTGGGCATGGTGGCATGTGCCTATAATCCCAGCTACTCAGGAGGCTGAGGCAGGAGAATTGCCTGAACCCAGGAGGCGGAGGTTGCGGTGAGCTGAGATCTCACCATTGCACTCCAGCCTGGGTAAAAAGAGTGAAACTCCGTCTCAAAAAAAAAAAAAAAGGAATTATTGGTCTAGGTGAAAAAGGCAGAGGCGGGGGGTGGGTGGGTAGGGGTGGGAGATTTGGGGAAGCTACTTTCCCTTCTTCCCCGCCTAATTGGCTGTGTTCAAGCCGGAAACCACCTCTTAGTCACTTAGTCTAATTAGAATTGTACCGGAGAAGACAATGGGGGAGGGGAAGGAGAAGCAGGGGTGTGAAGGGGGAGGGTGGGTGGAGGCAGAACTGGGTGAAGGTGGGGATGGGAGTTCCTTACACCACCTGGCATCCATTCTATTGCTACCCAATGGATGGGGTGGGCTGTGACTATACAGGCTGATGGGTCACTCTAACAGCCCCCCAGCTGCCACTAGCATCCCCTCACGCCCACCTGCTTTCCACTCTGCCCCTTCTTATCTGTCTCCTATATTTATCTCTGTCTCTAGTTCTAGCTCTCACTCTCGCTCTCTCCTGCTCACCCTGTCTAGCTCCTCACCTTCCTTTCTCTCCTTCCTGGGAGTCTCCTAATCTCTGGCCACCAATGTTTGTCTATGGAACAGATGAAGGACATAGGGTTGCTGATCTGGGCCGAACCACTGGGGAATGGAGGAGGAGCAGGAGGAGGGGATTATACTGAGAGGAGCCCTGTCTTTGGGGAGAGAGAGAGTAGGGTGGACGCTGGCCTGGCTTGACTCCCCTGCCACACACCCACACAGGTCAGGGTGTGTGTGAGTTTGGTCTCTGGAGCTGGATGGGCTGACTGTCTCGGACAAGTTACTTAACCTCTCTGTGCATCATGTTTTCTAACTATGAGATGAGGATAACACATTCCAAAAATGCAGTGTGGATTTAAGGTGAGAATGCACATAAATTGCCTAGCATGGTAAATTGTAAAGGCTCAATAAATGGCAGCTTTTGTCATCACTCCAGACTCCTGTCCTTTCTCTGGGGTCCTTCTGGAGCCAGGACATCTGCATCTTCCAATCCCCTCCTGCTGCTGCTTCTCCATTTTGGGGGGCCCAGATTGCTTCTCAGTTCCCAGACTCATCGCCCTTGCCTGGCTCCCAGAGCTATTCACTATGGTGTCCCCATGTAGGGGGTGAGGCTGGGATCCTGCCCTCTGCCCACAGGGTCTGGAGGGGCACACTTCTCCTCCAGCTTAGGGTCTGTTTTTCCGTCCTCTGCAGGCCTCAGAGGGGAGGAAAGGGGACAGCTATAAATGATGTAGGGGAAGCATACTTGCTGAGGGGGACAATAAGGGATGAGCAGCGTCCAGAAGCCTAAATATTTCATGGGGCTGCAGCACTGGGAAGGGCAAAGTCCCTGAGCTGTGTTTGTGCATATGCGCGTGACTCCACGTGGCTTGGAGCTGTTCCATATGTCCAATGCCCTCCTTACCCCCAACCCTCAAAATGCTATACTCAGGAAAGCTGCCCCCGTGAACCCTTTCCTGGCCAGGATCCCTCCAAAACCCTCTCAGCACATGTATATTTCATTTCTTCCAGCAGTAGTCGTTCCTGAAGCTTTTAGGCTATATGTTTGCATAGTCATGTCTTTTTTTGGCCCCTGTGTTCAGTGCACACCCTGCCCCGCTTTAGGGGCAAAAAAAAGACATGACTCCCAAGGACTGGTACCCTTAACCCTCATTTCCTCAGCCTTGTCAGGAGACCCCATAGGTGGAAAAAGCTGGTGGCGTGGGAGCAGAGGCAGAGGTTGGGGTGATAGGCAGGAGGTCGAGGTCTTCTGAGTTTATATCTCTGTCATGGTTGACTAAGGAGGCAGGTGTCCATCAGAACATGTGGGAATGGAGGGACAGCATCCAAGTCTAGTGGCTTCCATGCCCCCTGCTTGCAGATGAGCTGGGGGACTGCCTCTGCCAAACCTCTGCCTCAGGGTAGCCCTTGTAGGGCTGCTATCTGTGACCTGTCCTGACAACATACCTAAGTAAGGGAATAGAAGGTGTCCCTTTCAATCCTGGTCGCAGGCCCCCCTTGTCTCTTCTTGATCGTATTACAATCTATGATTATTTGATCATTGTATGCATTCAATTTCTGCCTCTTCCCACTAGAATAAAAAAGTTTGCAGGAGGCAAGAACCTTGTTTTTTTTTTTGAGACGGAGTTTCGCTCTTGTTACCCAGGCTGGAGTGCAATGGCGCGATCTCAGCTCACCGCAACCTCCGCCTCCTGGGTTCAAGCAATTCTCCTGCCTCAGCCTCCCGAGTAGCTGGGACTACAGGCATGTGCCACCATGCCCAGCTAATTTTTTGTGTTTTTAGTAGAGATGGGGTTTCACCATGTTGACCAGCATGGTCTCGATCTCTTGACCTTGTGATCCACCCGCCTCGGCCTCCCAAAGTGCTGGGATTATAGGCGTGAGCCACCGCGCCGGGCCAAGAACCTTGTTTAACTTATTTACCACCACCAAAAATGTTTGTTGCATGAATAAATGAATGAATGAATGAGTGGATGGAAGGAATTCTGCTTGGAAATTCTGTAGCCAAAGCAAGAAAAAGGAGGGAGAAGGAGGGCAGGCCCCAGATAAGTAGGGCTTTAGGTGAGAACTGTGGTGAAAAGAGGAAAAGAGGGTTAGAAGATGAAGGGAGTGAGTGCGACATGTCGGGAAGGACCATGGGAAAGAGGTGAGGAAGAGGGGGGACCTGGATGGAAGTAGACGGAGCTAGAACAAGGAGGCATGGAATTCAGTGGAAGGGATCCAGGTCCACAGAGGCGCCAGAGTCAGGGACTTCAGGGAGAAGAAGGGCAAACCTGGAACAGCGAGTCAAGGACAGGGTGTGCCCTTGGCAAGGGCAAGGGGATACCTGAAATTTGGGTCTGGGGCCACAGTGAGTAGAGTGCAGGGACCCACCAAGAGCAGCTGAGTCATAAGGATTTCCCAGGGCCTCCTGGTACCATCAATGTCCCTACAACTCCCTCTCACCCCCAAACCTCCTCCTCTTCCCTTCCAAGCCAGTAAACAGGAAATGCCCCAGGCTGGGCTGGCCCAGCTGCCCTTATAGAAAGAACCAAGGATCCTCCTCTGACTGGGAAGGATGCACAAAGCCACAGGGGCTCCTGACCCTTTGATTACTCATGCTCTATCCAGGGAGGCCTCTTCGGAAGCCTCCATCCTCCCAAATCAAGGGTGACAGCAATATTAACTCATTAGCACTAAGCCCCTAGAGGAAACTGGATTTGAGGGGTAATCTCTTCACAGGGCCCCGCCTTGTTCCTTGGCCCTCTCCCCAGCCCAGGGGCTTCCTGAGAAGGCAGGCAAGGGACAGGGGAGAAAACTTGGAGGCTGCGGGGTGGGGAGATTCCCATCAGAGAGGCGGTGTCTCCCCTGAATTGGCCAGAGTGGCTATGTGTGTGGGGGTGGGAGTGAGCGAGCAGAGGAAATTGGAGGTGTGCACCTGCAGTGGTTGTCATGGTAACCTGGCCCAAGGGGGTGGCCTCTCCCCCAAAGCCCTATAAAGCTTGGAACACAAGAGTGAAGACACACAGATACAAACACACACACAGAGGCTTTGCAGAACTCCTGGGATTGTAGTCAGCTGCCCCTCTTCTCTCTACTTCTCTGGGTGAAGCTGACACCAGGAAGGGGGCTGTGGGAAGAGGATGTGTCAGGGTGCCAGCAAGGGGGAGGCCCTCCACAAGGGGGCAGGGGACATGCTTTGCAAATGTGTGGGTTAGTGTGGGATCATGTGTTGCAGCATAGCCGGGGTGGTGTCCCCGTATCTGCAGAGGACAGGTATATACCCAGGTGACCCAACTGCAGTCCTGCAGTCAGACCACACAGGAGAGGGATTTGGGAAGGAGATGATTATTAACAAAGACAACAGTAATCACAGTTATCTTTAATTGAGAGCTTATTAAATTCCAGCTATGTGGTTGTGGTAAACATTTTACAGGCAGTGTCTCATTTGATTCTCACAACAATAGTACAAGGCAGGAACTATTAGACCCATTTACAGATGAGAAAACTGAGATTCTAAGAGGTTAAGTAATTTGTTTCAGGTCAAGGAGCTGGAAAGAGACAGGGCAAGACTCTGCAGGAGGGGAGGAGGCACAGGACAGGGGTGCCAGCTGCTAAGGACACTAGTCCTGTCCCCGGACCCCAGGGGTCACTCATGCCCATGTGTCCCCATGCTCCTTGGCAGGACTGGTCTGGTGCCATACCAAGAGGCAAGGCTTGGGAACTTCAGATCCTGGTGCCTGCCTGGGCTGGGCCAGGCTGGTCTGGGGCAGCTGAGGGCACCTGTGAGGGTACGAGGTACACCATGCAACGGGCATCATGATTGGCATGAGCCAGGGGAGTGGCTGGCAGCCTTGTTCCTGGTAAACACGAGGAGAGGTTACTTCACAAGGAAACAGTAATTAACTTTAATTAGCACCTTGCATCTCAGAATATTATTAACATCTCAATTTCTCTAATCAAGGCAGCAGGAGAGGGGTGGCATCTGCTTTGCTGACTCCTTCCTGGCCATGCTCCCTGGCTTGGCTTGGGTTTCTGCCTGGCCCCACCCCTTGGAAGGCGCCCAGGAGTCCCTCCTCAGAGGTAGGTTGCCAAGGGGAGCCTGGGCTGAAGGGCAGAGAGCAGGTATGGGCCAGGGACACACCAGCTAGCCCCAGCAGATGCGGGGTAGCAGAACAGAGACAGGGCTCTTTACCTGGCCACCCTCTCTTTCCAAATAGACTCTAAGCACTGAGGACCGCCAGGCTTCTGTTCCTGATCCCAGGAACACACATGGCTGCCTTGCTATTTTCCCTTCTCCTTCTCCTTCTTTTCCTCCCTCCCTTCTTTCCTTTCTTTGTTTCTTCTCTTTCCTCTTTCTCCCCTTCCCTCCTCTCTGTTTTCTCGAACCAGCCTCTTTTTCTCTTATTTTTCCCACTCTCTCCCTCACTCCCCCTGTCCTCCCCATTGGAATTCTCCATTTTAACAAGCATTTATTAAGCAGTCTTTACAGGACAGGGCCTCTGCTCCCACAACTAGGGATGCAGTAATGGGCACAGGATAAATCCTGCCCTTGGGAAGTTTAGATCCCACAGGGGAGATAAGGCTTGGGTATAAAGAACTCTCATTTGGGCTTCATACTGATAGGCATCATAATAGAGGGGCAGGTAAGGAGCTGAGGGTTAGGAGAAGGGAGGGGGGCACAGGAGGGACTAGGGCCCTAGTTGTGGGGCACCAAGGCAAGCGGAGGGCAGCAAGATCCGGAGGCAGAGAGGGCACTTGGTGTTGTTCAGCCCTCTTTAGAAGGCCATCACAAGGGAAGTCCCTGAGGGTGCAGGAAGTGACTCTCTTCATTATACCCACCCTCATGGCTGTTAACCCTGCTGCGTGTCTGACATTAATAACTGACTGTCCTCCTTGGTCTAATTACAGTGACCTGCTGCTTGCACAATTTGTTATTTATTTGGCAGTGTCCTCAGGGTATCTTCCTAGTCCATCCAATTTGTATTTATTGAGCACCTACTATGCCTGGAGGGCTGGGTCTGCCCGGGAGTACGCTTCCAGTGCTGGAGCTCCTCTCTACAGAGACTGGAGGGATCAGGAGAGCTGCCTACAGGCCTGGGCATTTCAGAAAAACAAAAACCCCAACACACACACACACACACACACACACACACCACCACCACCACCACCACCACCCCACCACCCCACTCCAGGCAGTATCAGCAGGAGGTTCCCCGTAGGGAAGTCTGGCTCCACATTGCCCTCATCAGCACCCCTGCCCTGCTGCTGTACCTGTGCCTACAGTGTTGTTGTTGGGCACCCCCTAACCCCATGCCTATTTTTATACCATTTAGAGGATAGAGTCAGAAGATTCAAGTCCAACTGCAAGTCTTGTCCAACATTAACCCAGAGGGCAGGTTAAATGTTCAGTGGAGACCCCAATCTCAAAACCACCTAGCTGGGAGGACA